GGACCTACTATGAAATGTCCAAAGGACTGGACTTTTCATAAATCCTTATTCATTGTTTCAGAATTCATGATGATTCACATAAGGCAACTGTGTAGAGGAAGGGCTTTCCCAATAGTTCCAATTGTAATTCTCTCATAAACGAAGCATCCACACTTGGCTGAAAGATCTTTCGTAGCATTAGATCTTCATCAAATGTTCTTTGGTTTACTTAGTCCAACTTCCTTGGGGGAAGATCATTCTAACAAAATTTTGAGGTAGTTAATGACTGACTTTTTGCAGCAAGGATAGAATGAAAAGAAATACGCCAACCTATTTAGACTAAGTAAGTAGCAGAGGAGTTAAACAGAGGTTGTCAGAGGGCGTTATGGAATCTACTTCTCTGGAGAGTTTTAAAAATAGGCCAGGCGCTGATCTCTCTGGGATGGTTTCAGCCTGAGGAGTGGCTAGAGGACAGCCACGGCCCTCTCATGTTCCCTTCCACCTCAATGAGTCTATAGGCTAAAACAATATCTGAGGAGGCCTCTTGGGCAGGGCGAGCCTGCAGGAACCCAGGCTCATTTCTAACTAGAGTACTTTCTTACCACATGGAATGATAAGTATATAAGTGAGGTGGGGTCAGAATGTTCTCTGAACCACACTCCGTTGGCATTACTGAGACAGGGCGCTCCGTCTACCAGCACGTCGGCTGAAAAGCACAAAGGATACCAGTTAGTATTGAATGATAGTGCTCTGTTAGATTTCATTTGTCCCATTGTTTTGTGTGTGTGTGTGTGTGTGTGAGAGAGAGAGAGAGAGAGAGAGAGAAAATACAGTAAGTAAAACTAATTGGAAAGGGAATTCAGTTAAAAATCCAGAAAACATATAGGGAAAGGACCTTCATGTTCTCGTCAGTTTAGGTTCTAATGTCAAGCGTTTGATTGACATCAGGTCTTAACATTTAGCATTTGAATTTTTTGGGTCTGAGGCCAATCCAGGATTGTGGTCTGTTGCCAGCGGATGGGAGTTTTCCTCTTAGAAAATGAGCTTTGTCCCAGTCCCCTGGCGCTACTGGGTAATGGCCCGCTTCTCACCAGAACAGAAGAGACAGCATAGCTGACAGGCACAAAGTCAGCCTTAAATATCATGCACCCCATCATTTGGTGGGTGGGTGTTGTCGCTAACTATGCTTCCACTTCAACAAAGAATGTGGTGAGTTGCCAAAAAACGAGGATGTTCCATCTTAAAGATTATGCTGAATTCTTTCCGGAGAAGCGTTTTTTTAAAAGATGAATTTTATCCTAAAATATTTTCCAAATTTATTTAGACATTCCATCCAAGGAAAATAATTTAAGTGTTGTGCCATGTAACTAGAATCTGTAGAGTTAGAACAGCTTTCTCCCAACAAAGATCTATCTTTATTCATCAAGTGGTCTCAAGCAGCCTGGGTGGGGTGAGGCGCATGCCAAGGTCACCATTATGCAGGCTGGCCAAAGGAGACACTGGACCCGGCAACCTACACCCTAGCAAATTTACAAATAGGTGGTGAAAATATGGTTCTGTTTTTTAATTGTTCTTTCCTCTTTGCCTCCCATAATTGCTGCTTTTCTGAAAGGTCAATTTCATTTTCTTTAGGAAAAGGAGTCTTTCCTTCATCTCCCAAATGCTAAGTTGATGCCCTTCTCTAGAAGTCTTCCCATTAAGTAAGTTGGCCTGAAGGTCATAAACCGTAATCAATATGAAGGCTGGTTGCTGCAAGGTGCTAATTGACATCCCCAAAGAGGAATAGTGTCAACAATCAATAGAGAAGACAGAGCACTGGTAGATTTATGGCTTTGATTTTGAAAAGGTATGGGAATGCCCTGTGATATTTCCCCCATACTCCTTTTGAATGTTAATGATTTCTTGAAGACGATTTCAGACACACTGCTAGGATACTGCCTCTACTCACTGAAGCAGAATCCTCTGAAGAGTTGCTGAGGCAGAACTGAAATCATGGCTCACCTCAAAGAAGCCGCCGTATTGGCCGCTAATGATGCCTCACACAGAAAGACGATGCTCCTGTAACTCGGGGGTTTTAATGGGAAGTTTCTAAGCCTGAAACAACAGCTTTAGATCTGGGGTGAGCTGCTTGCAGCTACCACTGCCTACTGCTTTAACACAGCTTGGTCGGGAAGAATGGAAACTAAAGAGGCTTGTAACTACCTGTAACTGTTCCACCAGGAAATGGATCAAGTGTTTGTTCAGCCAGATCCAGGTACTTCACCAAAACTGTGTCTTTGATGAGCTAATTAATGCTTTTCTCTAACTTTACAATTTATGCATGAGCATAATCGCATAGATGCCTTTTGGATCCAAGTTCTGAATTTAAATCTAGCTAAAAGTCTAATTAAACAGTTGCTAGGTAAAGTTAATAACGAAGGGGTAAAATGTAATAACGCCTTTATTTTTAAAGCATGCTTAAGTTTATAATGCTACTGATACTGGATAGAGGAGAAGTAAACCAGGCTTTCTTCTTTGCTAAGCTGCAGTAAATTATTCTTGAAAGCTGTTTGCCCGTTACAATATTTCTTTTTCCATTCACCTATAACGTGCAACCTTCTGAAATGTAACAGGGATGTTTTAATTTGTTTATGAAGGATCACAACTCAACAACTCACAATTACAGCACTGACTGTCCCTGGTGTCTCCGGGTGATGAGCAGTGTGCAGCCCTAGGCTTTTGAGGTATCAGCAAGCAGTCTTTTTCACTAGGAAACACACAAGGAAGGAGAAAGAAAACTAGGCAGAACAGGAGGTTTATTGTTTGAAGTTAAGTTTAGTTTGCTGGTGGTGCCTTTTGATACCCCCAAATGCTGACTGGGCACTGGCGTGGTATTTTTCTGATGTTCTCAGCGAGGCTGCAGCCTTGCCCTGCAGTCCCTTTAAAACTCTCCAAGCAGATGTTAGGAAGAAGATGAAGATAGGGAAGAAGTCAAGCTGAGGTTAGGGTTCAGGCTGAAGAGAAAGGTGGCCCGCTGACCCAGAGCTGACAAGCATCGGTGAGCTGGGAACAGCAGGGTCCACTCCCAAACCCAAGCAGAAGTGTCTGCAGGCTGACTCTGCAGGGACAGCCGGAGGGAACAGACCAGCCAGTGCAGCAGTGGGGGCTGGCAACAGTTCTGAAACTGCCTGTTGACATTCGTAGCTGACCACATTCGCATGTCCTTAAAATCATTTTTTATGGGCTTTCTAGTGGACTTGGGTCTATTTTTTGAGTACAAAAAATAATATTTACCCTTAGCTGTCCTGTGAATTCTAAAACATCAGGGCTATTGTATTGGAACAGGAGGGCTGTATTTGGAAAAGAAGAATATGAAAGTTGCCGTGTATTTATGTGAGCCAAAAAGGGAGGGCGGGGGGCAGTTAAAATGCATGAAGCACCTAGAAAGAGCCAGGAAATCTTTATCTGAAGTTCTTGGCTGGTTCTTTGAATTTACAGAAAACATTTTGTATCTTTGTGTGCACATCCTGGAATGCAAGTTGCTTTTCACTGGGCTCATACACAGAATTTCCACAAGACTCGTAGGTGAATAACTTTTGCTTGTGTAGCGATTCAATTAGTTAGATGATGAGGTGGTTTGTGGAAGGCTCACGACCATGGGGGGAGGTGTATAAAGGGTTGCCTGGGATGTTTACATGGCAGCAGTGGGTGGGTGGGGTGGAGGGTGAGGTGGACCTCCGGAGACTCCAGCTATGGAAACAGCAGTGCCGCTGAGGCCTCCTTTAGCTCAAAAGGTAGAGGGTGATTCTATTTCGCCTCAGTCTCAGGATATGTATCCCTTTAATCATTGAAAGCCGTGTTACTGTCTCAACAGTCGGCTTCAGAGCAGTTGCAGAATAATGCAGCACTTTGAGCAAGTCTGTCTCAGCCAGTGACTGCAAATTCAGTCCTGCCTGGCTAGCCAATTCCCTTCCTGTTACAGACTACAGATTAGTCTCCCTAGTCTGCCAGATAAATATAAATCAGGTACACAGGATGTCTTTGTAGGACAAAGTGTCCTGTCCATCACATGTGAATGTAAACTGGACAAGCCTGTGAGTGTTCTCGCTCAATGGATGACTGTTTTTACATCCACTTTGTCAAGTCACATAGCTAGGTTTCTGGCCTGGAAGTTTTAAAAATTAGGATGGCAATTATGTGGTTTAGGAATACTTAAAATACAGACAGCGTTGCTTAACTGTACCCGGCATACCGCTAGCAGCTGAGAGATGACAACTTTCTACTCATTCCAGCATGCCGGAGAAAAACTTGCCAACCAGCATCCTTTGGGGGATGGTACTCTTTTGGTAATTGATTTTTATGATTTGGGGTAGTTTACTCATAATCTCCATTCCTTTGTGTGCTTGCTTGTGTAAGAGAAATCAGAAATAAAGAGCCCACACTCACTCATCATCACCTATTTATTGAACACTCACTCTGTGCCAGGCAGGACTACATGTGTGCTGCATCTGCTGCAACTATTATCATTGCAACCCATTGTAGGCGGGTGGGCACTTGAGTCAAGGACCACAAAAGTGGGATGGCAGAATCAAATGCCTGTGTGCGGTTCCACAGAACAAGATGCCAAATGGCTGTCACTTTAAAAAGAAAAGAAACATGTCATTGCTTTAAGATATATTTTCTTCAGATAAAATATTTTTCCTTACTGTAAGATTGTATAATGAGATGCTAATGAAATGAAATGTATGAAGGATCCCGGCCTGAGAAGGGTACACATTGACATTTATAGTTTCCATGTGAGACATTTGGATTCAGAATACTTTAAATGGCTGCCCTTCCCCACCAAAGGAGCAGATTAGGTAAGAAAGGGTTGACCCCTTAAATAGAAGGGAAACTGCTTATCGCCAGCTGATTTTTCTATTTCAGACCCCACCCATCAGCATTGAGGCCAAGAAAAATTTAGAGAGCCAAATAACTGCTTTTCCAATCATGAGATCTGTGACTATTAAAGTGTCATTGTGATTTGGACTATCTGTGATTCTTTGAAACAAGATCTATTTCAAACACAATGGTCTGACATCCCAGTTTGGCTGGATGACATGAGCTTTTTTTCCTCCTCTCTGTATCAGCTGGCACCTCAAAGTTTGAATTCGGTTTCTGGGACTGAGGGGCCAGAGATTTAATTCAATCTCTATTTAAAGAGGCAGTGATCCCAGAACAGCAAGGGATTCTTCAAGGAGCTTGTTGTTTAATAAGGAGAAGGAGGCAGAACACCATGGAGACTTCTCCTGAAATAGGTGCTGCCACAGAATGCAGGGGAAGTGCTCCTGGAGACAGAGCAGACAGCACTCCATGACTCTGATGAAGGGAGAGGTGTAGGCGCCACAACAAGGTGGTGTTTGGTGTGGACCCTGAGGGAGGGAGAGAAGTCCACAGATGGGAACAGGGTGAGGAGGAGAGTATCATGACTAAAAGCTCAGAGGGGGGAAACCTGGAGGTGGTCGGAGCACAGCAAGTGTGAGGTTGGGCTGAAGAGCAGACAAAGTGAGGACGTTATCCTCAGGCATCTCCAGGCTCAATTACACGTAAGTTCGTTCTTATCAATACATCGGTCATTTTACTCGAAACCAAAAGTCATTGGATGTTTGTTCCTTTTTAAACTTAATATGAAAATAAATTTATAGCTTAGAAAAATTCCATTGTTAGACTATGTCTCAAACCGTGGTCCAGAAAACAGGGGTATCAGGTCCCTAAAGGGGTTAATGGGCGGGTTAGGGCCTTGGACATTGGAGTACAAAGGTTTTCTGAAGGGATGAGTGGTAAGATCTGAGCTTAAAAAGATGAATCTTGATGCAGTATGTAGAAAATGTGAGGAAAGAAAGAGAGGGCCTCTTTGCCAATTACTGTAACTGAAGTGAGTGGGTAATAGTGAGAATGACTCCGGGTAAGGTGGACTGCTCACAGGGCTTCATGAGTAATTCAGGATGTTTTAGACTTTGTTCCTATCACAGAGTCTAGGGAGCTAGGCTTGAGAAAAGGGAGTATTACATGATTTTTGAAAAATGGCATCTTTTAATTAAGGTTTCCTTGGTCCAGTATTAAAATCAGATTTTATTTCCTGAGCACACACAAATGGACCTGGCAAAGCGAAGACATAGATGTGCTGTGTGATGGGGGAAGCCACTCAGGATTAAAATACTGCCGTGAGTAACTGGTCTTTCTTATACTTAAAATAATTACCTTTCGTTATTATAAACACTTATGATGGTTGTGTCAGAATCTTTTGAAATAATTTACTTGCCCAGGTTTCACTATTTATCTAAAAGAAAGAAATCATTACAGCTAAAAGCAATTTTAAACATTTTCTAAGACTCATTTTTACCAAAAAGGGACATTTTATTCCAAGATAAGCATTTAAAAAATGTAGATGTCTTTGAATATTTTTGTACCGTGCTAGTCAAGTGATTACATTTATTTCTTTTCCTGCATCTTGTTATATCTGATGCTTCCTTTAACTTACACATGCTATTGAGCTTTCCAAATTTGTAAATTATTGATTAGCTGATTGCAGGTTTGAAATTAAACAGGCTTTTCCAGGGATTTCAATCAGTCCTAGGGAAAATTGTGGAATAGTTGGCATTTCTTTCTGGGTCTCTGTATCCCCATATCCCTTTATAACCATCTCATCGCCACCCACTACCCTTCATCTCTCCCCAGGACTCTCCTGCTGGGTCTTCTGCTCATAGCACCCAAGTCTGCTCCTCCCAGCTCCTCTCAGCAGCCTCTCACTCTCAGCAAGGCCTTCCTTCAATCCCCTTTCTGACCACCTCACATCCTCCTCCTTAAAGTAGAAACAGTTTTCATAGACAAATCCCTACTAATGTGTTAATGTGTCACTTTCCTTAGTAAAATATTGCCATTTAACAGGAGCCTTTGATGATCTGACCAAATGAAGTTATTTTAATAAGAACTTGGGCACCACAGTATGTTGGGAGGTGAGAGGCTTACAATTTATGAAGAACTGTAGAGTTGCCAAAATCCTTTCATCTCCATTTTGTCATCCATTTGGTAAATCTGGAAGGGGTTGGAGAATATATATTTATATTTTAGCAGGCTTCTCAAAACATCTGATCAGGCTGCAAAGAGGGTTAACCATATCCTTGCATCTGCCTTTTAATCAGCATAGGGTGGTACAACTGCAAATTAAAATGGATTTTTAAATCATTCTAATAGTTGGCTTCCCTGTGAAGGAGCCAGGGCCCAGACTTATTCCTAGGGAGACTGAAGAGGGAGACGTGGCTGCTAATCTAAATCAGAATCCCTAGGTTATTTGCTGGGGCTTCTTAGAAGGGTTACCCATCACTGTAGGCCCCAAACGAATGCTATTCCAGCTCTAAAAGTGAGGTATGGAAGAAGCCTAGAAGTATGAGATGTTGAGCTAGGAGAAAAGACTTGGCATTTTGCCTTGTATGAAGGACAAGCCTGGGGAAGGCTGCTCCTGGGTGTCAAGATGGCTCTCAAGTGGAGACTAGAGGCGGGAAGGGAGGCACTAAACAAGGTATTACTATACAAGTCAGCCAGCTTGTGGCTGGGGAGTCATTATCCTAGACTCAAAAGGTCCTATACCCAGTTCTTCACTCTTTTCATTGAACCTCACAGAGCCAGAAATCTTTATGTTAAAGTTTACACAGTAAATGGTCTTGAATTTTCCTATATTTCCTTTTTGGATTGTGTAATGTTTTCATAAAGAACTTTCAGAAAATGCATACCTGTCTCAGCTGTATTGAGAATAGACAAAGAAAAGGACTCTGGCCTCATTTGGGCTGAAGGGAAATGGATGAAGAATGGGATTCTTGCAAGCCAGCAGGGAGGGCAGGGATCCAAGAGAGGGGATCCTCAGTAGGACATGAAAAGACAAGAGGGCCTGTGGCAGAGACAGCTTAGGCATCTATTCCTCTATCACCACATGACTTTCTTTTGACCCAGCCCATGGAGAATTTTATATTTGGTATGATTAAGTTCAGTTTGGGTATTTTGGGTACGTACACATAGCCCTCGTCGGAAGCATTAAGACAGCTGCATTGGAAGCTCTGGTCATCCTTTCCAGCTCCCTCCTCTCAGCCCCAGTTACCTATCCAGAATTAACACCCAAAGTGCCCCGGGGGTGTTGTGGTTGAGTTTGTGCACTCTGCTTTGGAGGCCTGGGGTTTGTGGGTTCGATTCCAGGCTTGGACCTGCACACTGATTGTCAAGTCATGCTGTGGCTGTGTCCCACGTGCAAGGTGGAAGAAGGTTGGCACAAGTATTAGCTCAGGGACCGTCTTCCTCAAGCAAAAAGAGGAAGATTGGCAACAGATGTTAGCTCAGGGCCAGTTTTCCTCACCAAAAAACCCTCAAAAAACAAAACAAAAATGCAAACCAAAGCCAAACTCAATCCATCAACATACTCTATATTCCTAATGAGCTTATTTAAAAAGAATACTGCCAAATTTTATCCCAATCTTACTTCAAAAACAAAAAAAAAACGAATCATAAATGAATCCCTTGCAACTATTCCAGACTTAAAAAAAAAATTCAGTTATGGAGCTGCAAAATATTCTTTCCCCCTAAACTGCTAACTCCTTCCTCCCAGATACTGGTTGTAATTCCTTTTATAAACTGTTTTTTAAACTATGATTGTATAAACTTTGAAGTGTCAGCATAGAAGCAAACTGTTATTATGATCACTAATGCTATACTTCAAGGCAATGATTATAAGTTAACTGAAGAAATACTGTGTTAATGCTTTAGGTCATAATGTCTATTTTTATTTGTTTGATTATTTTCATTGAGCATAATTTTTTTAAGCCATGTTAATTTCCATTGCTGACTACTCTGCTAATAATTTTTCTTGTAGACAGACTCATCAATAAATATGTCATGATTTTTCTATATAGTAATGTCTAATATAGATACTTTCCTTTACAAAATTTAAGATTTAATTCAATATCTGAAGCTGTTAATGGCCTTTGTGTATACTTCAATTTACCTTTAAAGACAAACAATAATATCCATATACCTCCATTTTCCTGTCGGAAAAATGGAAATAGCGATAACTTGTCTTTTTCCTTCTCTTCCTTTCTGCCAAGTGGTCTTAAACAGTAAGAAGTCGCTGTAAGGTTAAAAAAATGCAGTCGATCAATTCCTTTTCCCTAGCTCAGTTCTCTAGGTGCTTCCCAGGGTCAAGTATTGAACCTGGTCTTTGATTTCTAAAGAAAAATGAAATAGCCGTGGTAGCTTGACGGTTTAGGAGCCTGAGACACCTCCCTTTCCCCTTGGCCCAGGCAAGAGAAAGCAAAGGAGAAGCGTCACAGCAGCCTTAGTTATGTCTTAAGTGAAGCGAAACTTTGTTTTGTTTGTTTTTCTTCTTTGTATACTTTTCAAAGGGTTTTCACAGACATTCATCCTTATTATAGCACCAAGAGGTTCAAAGGCAATTCTACTTCCAATGTTACAGCTTAGTGACCTCTTCAAGGTTCTACATGCATTTAGCAGTAAAATGGAGGCCGGGGCCAGAGCCCAGAACCCATGCTTCCTGAGGGAATTTCTATATTAAGAAGCTTTTCCAGCCTCAGTTTCCTTGCTGAGGTTACAGAGATCTCTACTTTCACGGAGCTTGTAGTAGAGCGGCTGACATATGGTGTGTTTAGCCACAGTCCTGGCACATAGCTGGTGCTCATTCAATGGTACCATTATAAGAATGATGTGAGAGTAATATTACTGGAGGGAAGCTAAAAGAGACTTGGCAGGAGAGACTGGGTTTAGATGTCAAGTTGGCAGCACACTCTGAGGTCAACATTACCTTGCACATTTCTCATCTTGTGTACTCCGGGTGCCTTCTCTGCCCATCTCTCTTGGCCCCAGGTGGCTGCTCTGAGGACAGTCTGGTAATTTCATGCAGGAGTAAAATATTTTTCCCCATAATTATACAGAATTAAGCATCTCTGGCGAAAAAGTTTAGGGATTTCTTCTTCTCTCTGAAAAACATGACTGTGAGCCTAGAAATAAGGTTGCTATTTGATAGCTATTACTTTCCTTCCCTTTCTTTCTTCCAGCAGATATCTCAGCCTCTCCAAGGTGCAGCCACCATGATCTCAGCAGACTGATGATGGAAGAAAAGGAAACAGGGAGATCCTGTGCTCTGGCTTCCCTGGACGATGGATGGAGGACAGCCCATCCCTTCGCCCCTAGCGCCTCTTGGGAATACATCATCAGATTCTAGCATGTCTCTAGAACAGAAAACCACATTTGTTTTTGTGATTTTGTTATTTATTTTCTTGGGCATCCTCATTGTCAGGTGCTTCCGGATTCTTCTGGACCCCTATCGAAGCATGCCGACCTCGACCTGGGCTGACGGACTTGAAGGCCTGGAGAAAGGGCAGTTTGACCATGCTCTTGCTTAGCAGGGAGGGAGCAGGGTCCCCTCCCGACGAGGTGAAGTGCTTCATGTCTTGGCGAGGATTTCTCTTTAGTTGATGTTCTCAACAAATCAAGTTTTAACAAGATCTGGCTCTAAGACCACAGTCTGTTACTATTCAGTAAACACGCAGTTGGGCTAAAGACATCTGAAAATATTGGAAATGGAAGATTATGTTACTAACCCCAAAATAGGAAGGTTTAAATTTCTATGTTTCCTCCATAGATGAATATTGTTGAATGTGTGTGATGGCGAAACAAAGAGCATCAGTTCTGACATAAACTTTGCCATAAAATGAAGCACTATCTGACCTGACCAGAGAATAAAAGGCTAGAAAGGATCTGATCTGAATCTAGTGACAGGGCCCAGAAGAGACTTTCTTGCTCTAATCATCTTTCTCAGTTTGTCTTATTTTTGTGGGAATCTGGGTCCTGGGCAGAGAGTGAAGAAAACTGTGCTGAATGGACCCAAAACAGATCCTAGTTTTCTCCAAAAGCAAGGAGCAATGGGCGGACCTAGAAGAGATGACTCCATCCTTGTGAAACACGACTGAGGATGATATTCTTTTATTTTTCAAATAAAACTCAATTCAAAGGCTTGTGGAAGTTTTAAAACTATTTACCAAGCCAAGTACATTCTATGTATTCATATTAATAACATGTGTAGAAGTAACTATACATAGCCTGAATTTACTTTCTTTACACAAATGATTGAAATAAATAGTTTGCAAGTGCACCTTCAGGTTTTTTTTTTTTTTTAATAAAAAGTTAATTGTTTAGAGGAAAAGACTTTTACAGTCTTAAGAGGAATGTGTGTTTATGGCTGAATATAGAAACCAAATAAAAGTTTTCAAGAAACAGAAGTGTCTCCTCTCTTATTTCACCGAGGCTCATGCCCGAGAGGCAGTGAGTTATATCGAAGGCTGAGGACTCACAGTGTCCTGAGAGAGAGAGAAAGAGCGAAGACCATGAAAGGTCATCTAATTCCTCCCTCTCCCACTTCAGGAAGGGCTCCCACAAATTGTCCTGCACACGTAAAACCTATTCTGAGCACTATTTAAGTCCACCAAAAAGAGAGATGTGAAAACCTCTTACTCTAACGTCCATTGGTAGGAAAACCTCATATCTAAACTAAACCCCTTAGGCTGTAGTTATAGTCTATGTCTTCTAATTTTCTTCTCAGCTAGCCATCACGTTTTTAAATTAAAGTTTAAAAAGTCAACTATGCCAAAAAAGGCAACCTTTAGTAAAACTGCTTTCTCATCTCCTGTTTTTTTAACGTTTTTTGGGGGGTCCTGCTGCCCAGATTTCCCTCCACCTCATGTTCTCCCTTGACTTTTTTCTTTGTTTAAAAAAACCACAGATTTTTTGAAATATAACTCCCATACCATAAAATTTGCCCTTTAAGTGTACAATTTGGTGTTTTTTACTATATTCCCAGAATTGTGCAACCATCACCACTATCTGATTCCAGAATTCTATACGCACTAGCAATCACTTCCTATCCCCCTTCTTCTTGGCCCCGGGCAACCACTAATCCACTTTCTGTCTCTATGGCTTTGCCAATTCTGGACATTTTGTAGACGTACAATCATAGAATATATGTCCTTTTGTGTCAGGCTTCTTTTACTTTGTGTATTTTCAGGGTAGGTTCATCTATGTTGTAGCACAATCAGTACCTCATTCCTTTGTATTCCATTGTTTGGCTATACCACATTTTGTTTATCCATCAGCTATCATGGTTATCCATTCGCTAGTATAAAGAACACTTCTGTGAACATTTGCGTACACGTTTTTGTATGGATGTGTGTTTTTAATTCTCTTGAGTATATTCCTAGAAGTGGATTTGCTGGGTCATATGCTAACTCTTATGTTTGACTTTCTGAAGAACTATGAGACTGTTTCCCAAGGCAGCTGCATCATTTTACATTCCCACCAGTAATGTAAGAGTTTTGATTCTTTTCTTGACTCTCTCCAACTACTCAAATTTCTTCTTTAGCTATAGAATTTATAATTGAACATACCACTTCAAGAATGAGTCAGATTCAAGAGAGAGAAGCATCTCATGGTTTCTACTTGCTAAAAGTTCCTTGATGTCTTCAGAGATCCTTTGCTTCTAGATCTAAAGCCAAACACTGATGCTGATCTGTGGTCATTCTGTGGTCTGTTAAGTCACCTGAGTATTTTTTCTGTCTAACTAATACATATTTTTTAAACTCTAATTATAAAGCTTTCTTTTTCTTCAAATGTACCATGTCATGTGTGTCATTAAATTTTTTCTTATTTTATTGGGAGTCTATTCAAACCAACTCAAGTATTTGTTGAGCACATGCTTTGAGTGATAGGAAAAGTACAGGGCTAGTTCTTGCTCTTGAGTACCTTTCTTGTTGGAAAGCTAAGAAATGAAAGAAGGCATATGTCTAAATCATTGTTCAAATGACTGATATGAACCTATAGTTCCCACCCCATCAAAATTATCTGGGATCTTAAAAAATAAATATGACCACATACACTAATTTTTATTATAAAAGTTTATCATGATCATGGTAAAAATGTACAAATGATATGGAAAAACATAAAGTAAAGAGCAATAGTCAAAATTCTGCCTCCTTAAGTCACTCTATCTCCTCAGTTTCTCCTGGGAAACTTGTTGAAAATGTAGATTACGACAGCCTTCCACTCCTAGAGGCTGGTTCTGTAGAGTTGGGTCAGTGAACAAATGTTTCAGGAGATAAAGCACAGGAGGGATGGATGTGGGCCAAGGTAGTCAAGGAAATGTCCCAGGAGACAATGGCCCAGGTGTGACGTACATGTTTAAGTGCTTGGTATAAAGCTTTACACAGTGTAAGTTATTATTATGAAATAAATTAGAGCTTCACCTAAGAGGATGGAGGTGCTTTAGTTATGTGCAAAGGAAGAGAGGAGGGAAAAATATACTGTAAGGAAAAGAAGGTGTGGGTGTGGGGCTTACAGCTAGGAAAGCAGCATAGCTGGAGCTCATGCAGGAAGGATACAGGTGAAGCAGAACATCAGAGGGTCCTACAAGGCAAGGTGAAGTGTGGGAGTCACTGTAGATTTGTGAGAAAGAAAATGACATGAAGAGTGGTGGTCAATTCCAGTTTCCATACCCTTCCTCAGGGTAACACTAAGATCTACTTCTATAACGGGAACAGACTGAAATAACCACCTGCCCTCTATGAGGCCTTTGAGCACAGGATTGCCAGTAAGTGCCACAGGGCCTCCCAAAGCCTGCTCTTCTTTCTTTACTCCCTTTATTCCCCACTCTATTTTTGTTTTTCCTTCTCAGATTACTGCTTCTTGTTCACCTTCCCCTCACTGGGTCTCCCCTGCTCCACGCCTCCCTTGTCCAGAGCAAGAGTACCATAACAAGTGATAAAAAGCTTTGGGCTATTCAGAGTAAATTGATCCCTCTTGTGAGAGGTGCTAACTCTCTGTTTTAATTACACACAGCTCCTTGTGGTGAACAGTATATTCTCTGAAAGGTCACATAAGCCCTCTCCTTCCTGGCTTTCTGGCTACAGGAGTTACAGTGCAGCATTTTGCCTACCTTACAAGATATTTATAACGAGTACAGCTGCCCTCTATCGTGGATATCTGCATCCCAGGATGAAAAAAATCACTTTCTCAAGGTCACTCTAGAATAGAGCTGCCTCTTGATTCAGAAAAATGTGGCAAACATTCTCAGTCTAAGCTCTGAACCAAAACTCCATGGTTTACGCCCCAAGAGACCCCAAGTTCTAGATGAACATCGCTGCCTCCAAGAGACCTATTTTTTTAATATCTTAAACATTGAGTAAAGTGAGTCTAACAAGGGGTGTGAAGGAGATTAATCTGACTCCTGCTGCTAAACTAATGAACATTCCAAGCCAGATCATTCTTTTATTTTTAAGGGTTAAAGCTGAAACAAAATAAGCAACAGTTTTAGGAGGCAGAAGTTAGAGCAGATGCTTATGCATGCAGGAAAAAATATGTATTTAAGTTCCTTTTTTATTGGATTCATTGCATAGTGTTTAACTGAAACACTAAGGCATCTATATAAGTATGTTGACAAATTTAGTTTGATAAGAAGTTTTATTTGACCACCATAAATCTTTTATAAAAACTTTGTAGTTTCAAGAAGATGTCGGCTTTCAGAATTGACATGTAAAACATATTGCAACACAATTATTTTCAAAAAATATTTTAAGCCCCAAAGCAAGAATAAGTTCTGGGATGTGATTTGTGAGATCTGCGGTGTGTGTCTTCTGAGTCAAATTATGCGAGAGGGGGGTCTCAATTACTGATTAATCACAAAGTTGTAGAGTAGAGCAATGATCTCCAGAAAAAATGCCCAGATCACTACATATGCATATGCATCTCAGGATCAAATGGTCCATGTGGGAAGAGGTGATTTGCTTGTTTTGAGCTGCAAAAGAAGGACCCTCTAAACTTTGTATCTACTGTTTCATAAAAGAATAAATGTATTATTTCCAGACAGATGTCTACCTCTTCAGAAACAAGGCCTCCCCATCCTACGGCTTACTATGGCCTGATGAGCCAGGGCCCAACACTTGCCGGTCTGGAGCCCTTTCCAAGGTCATTTTTTGGAATAGGATTCCCTGCTGGATTTAGTATAGAGGGGACATTTTGTTTCCAGTTTCTTGCCATAAACTACTCTCATGTCTTGTCAAAAAGCACCCCAAGGTACTCTTACATTCCTCCATTCCATAGCCTTTCCCAATATCCTTATTGATGTTTCTATGTGTTAGGGTAAGAGAGATTCCCTGTAAACCATCTTTCAGAGGGGATTTCCACCTTATTTTCTTCTAAGCCCTATTACCATGCCTAGAGCTCCAAATTTACGCCAGCTGTTAAGAAGGCAGCTCTTCCTGGATTCGTTGGAGTTTGAAAAGCTGGAAAGAAACATTGCTGTCATCTATTCAAACCCATCACTTTACATGTAAAGAAATAGGGAAGCATAGGGATCAAATGGCACACCCACAGTCACGTCTCCACCCAGTGGTTATAGTCGTATCATCTTACATATGTGGTGTGCAGATGAATTCAAACAAATGAACAGCTAATAAATCCAAGAAGTGAAAAATGTCTATTTGCTCCATTTGCTAATTGACATGACAGTTATTCTTAAATAATCTCTCTTTTTTTGGTGGGGGATGGGGAGGAACAAATGTATTTTGTTTCTTAAGAAAAACTCCTGTTGACAATATATTTTTTTTTGGGATAGTCTCAAGCTTCAGTTTAAGTGTCTAGACAATGAGAAGTATTTCCAGGTAGATTATAAAGGATTCCTTAGTAAAGATTTTCTTTCTCAAAACACAGGATAATCAATCTAGGATAAGGCTTCAAAGTCTTTATTTCCAAGTAGAGTGTTGAGATGTTTTTCTTAGCTGAAGAGGCACAACAAGCGAGATTACAACATAAAGTTCATAAAGACTTTGGATATGGCCCTATCTCTGGTTTATCAAAGAGACGTCTGGATCCTCTTGGGACAAAGACAGAGCTTCAGAAGATATACAATGAAGCATTTCAAGTTTGAAAGTGTCCTTTATCCTTTTCTGTCAGGCATTTTTTCCTAGTTACTTCACTGCTTTCTTTCCCTCTATTTTCTGGTAAATGGAGTGTTAGAAGAAGCTTAATGTAACATTAAATTCAGTACTTCTCTGGTATACGAATATTTCCTCAATAGTCATAATAAATGGTTACCTGGTTTCTCTCTAAACGTGTCTAACTTCTTAGGAAGTCCATCCCATTTTGAACCTGTTCTGTTTTTTATAAAATATTTCCTTATCTACTATAAATGTATCTTTTGGTAATTTCCACCAATTGGACATTGTTTTTTTCTTCTTAAGTGACAAATTTCTAATACTCTGTAACATGACAACCCTCAAGATGTACTTATTCTTGAAAGATAATTTTCCATGGGTCTCTCCTCTTTCTGCACGTCTTTCTAAAGAAGCACTGACAGCATTTTGCTCTTTTCTAATATGTTTGTTTAGAGATGGTATCCCCCTCCCCTAGAAAAATGGTTGGGCAGGTTTGCTTACAGCCTATTATAAAAGATTGGGATTTCCTAAACTCAGGATTCCTCTCCCGGAATACAACCCACTGTGTGTGTGAACATTAGCCAGTCCTGTTTGCATTGCCCTGTGGAAACTGGGGCTTAAGGAACCAGCAGCAGAAAATGCTGATGCTCTAGGTACTGTGATTACTGTGAGTAATAGACTGACCTCTGTTTGAGTCTTGTGTCTTCTACCAACATCCATGAAACTGTGTCAGGCTAACTTGTCAGCTTGGAAGTATGGTAAGATCTCAGCTCCTTCATGGTTCTCAACAGTTACCATTATTCCCCCAGGATAAAAAATTCCAGTTTCTTCAAACTTCCTTCGTATTGTCATATGTTTGGAACCATCTCTCGCTCTTATCAAACATTATGGATGCTCTTCACTTTAACTATGTCCCTGCTGCATAGAAAGGAAAATAATAGTCCACATGTGGTCTGACTAAAATGAGTAGAACCGAATTATCATTTATTTTGCTCTGAAAACCACACATTGCAAGGCAGCCGAAGATGAAATGACCTTTTTTGCAGCCACGTTACTATTGACTTATATCAAACTCACAGTCAGCCTAAACTCTTGGGTATTTTTATCTATGCCAAGGTAGAAATCAATCTATGTCAATGTTATGTCAAACATAAATTCCCATCCTATTCTTGCACAGTTTTAAAATTTTGCACCCAAGTTCAGGAATTTAAAATTTCCCTTTTTTGATTTCACTGTATTGCATTTGGTGCAACATTCTAGGCTTTTTATAACCTGATTCCCTCATTAGCATATTCATTGCGCTCAGCATCTTTGTGTCATCCATAAGTTGGCTCAGTAAGCCATCTACATATTTTTCACATTAAGGGTATAACTTTGAACATATCAGAGCCAAGGAGAGAGCCCTGGGCAATGCCACAGAGATCTCAATGTATTTAAAAAGTCAGTTGGCAGGAATAATTGTAAGCAACTGCTCCCCACAGGAAGCTCCATGGAGATGTTCACCATGGGGGAACCTATGAAGCATAAGGACTCATTTAAGCCTATAGCAAAGCTTCAGAAGACAGGGAAACGACAAAAGTGATATTTGTGTAACTTGCAGAGCTCAGCTGAAATGTTATGGATCCAAATTGGCAGGCGAGAGTCACACATATGGCAAGAAGGGACCCTATCTACATTTATTAG